TTAAATGTTATGGGCCAAGCACCGTTCTTTGTTCATGTGATTGGGGGGGGGGGGGGGCTATGTAGAATATTGTGACGACTGGAAAAATCAGCGGTAGAAGAGGGAGAGGCAGACCAAGAGAGATGATGGCGGATAGACTGCGACGGTGGCACGCAGGAATATCATCGGTGGAGCTGATTTAGATAAAAAGGACCGGGATCTGTGGAGATGTGTGAACGCCTACGCCAGTCGGTAGGGCCCGTGATGATGATGATGGGCCGTTTTGAAATTGATCAGATTATTCGCGGACCATACAAATCAGCCAGGTGTCGTCTGCGCAATGGATCTCTAACAGACTGTCTTTCGCTCTCAGATTTCACTCGTCCTTCTCTTGATATCTTCTCATTTGTGTCGCTTTCTGCCTTGTGGCTGGCTTGCTCTTAACTTTCCCCTCTAGTACTGCTTTTTTAAGAGTACATTTTTATGTAGCCGACTCTACATGTCGGTTATGGGGCCTCATTTTATTGGAAGAAAGGGGGGGGGGGGTAAACCCACTGCCCCCTAACAAGCATGTCGTAGAGTCGACTAATTAGTGTCGTATCCTTCTAAATCGGAGTGTATCTGCTCGAGAGACGAGGAACCAACAATCTGAGGAACCAACAATCTGCACGCAAGTAAATCGAATCTGTAAAACGGATGTTCACGCAAAGCTCAACTTCTGGAGCAACAAAGTCCTGAAGTGGACGAACACTCAGAACTTTTCGCCGGGGTTTACCAGGGGTTTACAACGGGTAAGCGATAAAAAGAAGAATGTAGCTAACATATTTCACTAGTTTTTAATTTAATTTTTATTTTATAGAGAATTTTATCAGTTTAAAAGTTAGCCCGTTATATTTGGTACCGGGTGCAGTCCCAGGAAGTAAAGGCAGCCGGCGTGATACTGACCACATCACCCATCTTGTGCCGATTAGTCTATAAAAAGTTAGGTCTAGCCCTATACGCCTAAAGGCGTGGAAAAGGGACCCTTACTTTTACTTTTTTTTTAAACTGCTTTTTTTTTTGGGGGGGGGGGGGGGGGGGGACACATTCAATTTGAGTTGCCTCGGTGGAGCTGGACCAAATAATTGTATAGGACTTATACGCCCCTCCCTTGATCTAGGGAAGTTTTCCGGAGTGGACGGGGGCGCAACAGTTTTTTTTTTAAAGAAACGGGGCGGAATGCTAATTAAGTTTGACAATCTGTGACAGGTACTGATAGCTAGGCCTCTTTTATGTGATTCAGATTGTATTCCGAATTATATATTTTATTTAAATTTAGTTCCCCTATAAGAATTTAAACGTTAAAATAACACGTTTGGGACTGAAAGGAGAGAAGATCCGGAGGTGGGGGGGGGGGGGCTGTGATTCCGGATAACTGTCTTTCCTTACAGAGCGACTAATCGCCGTCAAGAACGTCGCACAAAACACGAACTCTGCAGTCACAGCGACGACCCCTATATGTTTGCAAACGGCAATAAGACTCCTAACCCGCAACGCAGAGGAGACGACACAAACACACGACTTTGCACCCCAATAGCAGGTAAAATGGGGACGCCTCTGAGTATGAAATAAATAAGGAATGTAAACTGGAGGGAGGAAGGAAGGAACGAGTCTGTTCGTTATTAGACGTTAATTAACATACAGGCAGGCTCCACCTCGAAGTCTTGCTGCCAGTCCTCCACACACGCGCGGATGTACGTATAGGGGAAAGGTTTTCTTCGATATGTTGTCGATGGGAAGAAGGTTCACTGTGTCTGCTTGTCTTCATGGTACCTTTGAAACGTAATTGATTTTGCTTCGTGGAGGCGCAATGCTGATTTCATTACTTTGACACGCTATGGACTCATTTATCTAAATCTGATCCCATGATTAATATGAACAAACCGGTGTGGACTTTTCGGGTAAATTTGCATGACGTTGCGTTGTTTACTGGCGATTTGTGTAAAGTATTTTTCTCGTGTGCCTGTGTTTACGTGGTAAAGTGCTATATTTGGTGTTTTGTTTATTGGGGGAATACTTTATTTTAACTTCGCTAGTGTTTAGACTCTAAATTGTAACGTGTTATGTTTCTTGTGTTGTTTAGTGTAGAAATACTTTACCTCTGTGCTAGTGTTTACATTGTAGTGTTGTGTATAGTGCGTTGTTTAGTGGAGAAATACTTTACCCCTGTGCTAGTATTTACTTTGTAATGTTATGTATGGTACATTGTTTAGTGGAGAAAAGCTTTACTTGTGAGTAGGCCTACATTGTAGTGTTATGTATGGTACATTGTTTAGTGTAGAAATACTTTACCTCTGTGCTAGTGTTTACATTGTAGTGTTATGTATGGTACATTGTTTAGTGGAGAAAAGCTTTACTTGTGAGTAGGCCTACATTGTAAAGTGTTTGCTATTTTAAATACTTTATTATTGTGCCAGTGTTTACGTTGTTGTGCTATGTTTGCTGCATTGTTTAGCGGAAAAATACTTTACTTTTGAACTTGTGCTCACAATATTAAGAGTTGTATTTACTGTATTGCCGTATCCTAAAAAAAAATGCGTACATTTCGGCGACTTCGAGTTTTCTTGGGGAATTAAAGATGTCGATATTGAGGGCAAATCTGCTACAAAGACTGAGCTTTTGTCTGTCTGTCTCTCTCTCTCTCTCTCTCTCTCTCTCTTTCTCTCTCTCTCTCTCTCTATCTATCTCTATCTCTCTATCTATATCTCTATCTCTATCTCTCTATCTATATCTCTATCTCTATCTCTCTATCTCTATCTCTCTCTCTATCTCTATCTCTCTCTTATCTCTATCTCTATCTCTCTCTCTCTCTCTCTCTCTATCTCTCTCTCTCTCTCTCTCTCTCTCTCTCTATCTCTATCTCTCTCTGTGTAGTTAAATAAAATTGTTTGACCCTATCCATCTGATCTGGGGTCTTCCCTTAGCCAGAGCGTCCTTCGGTCGCTCACACACAGCGATGAGCTTATATAGCTTTTACTGATTGATTGATTGACTTATTGATTGATTGACGTTCGACTCCACCAGGACATCACACCGACGCGACAAATACCCGGTGACACAAAGTGCCACCATTCTGATGATAACGCGGGGACGGGTCCTAAAAACCCTGTTCAAGCCGTAGGTTGTGTTAAATTAGGGCCCCCTGTAACAGCCAGGATGGGAATTCAAAATAACGAAAAATTGCATCCCACAATCGGAGGGGGAATTGCTGTTGTATTTAATGGATTTTACTCCCACAGTCGGCTTGTGATGCTTAGGCGTTGCTAATGCCTGGGTGCCCGGTTCGATCCCAGCTGCGGGCCTCGCGCTGGTTTCTACAGTGGTATCGAGAAGCCGACCGTCTAGAAAGCAATGGTAGACTACTGGATGTAAATTTACCTAGAAAAACTACAACAGCCAAAAATGCTGGGGTTGGTTCTGCGATGTCCTGTAAAGGATACACGACTAACTCCCACAAGATAGTGTTTATTATCACCACAAACCACTTCTGCCGCTAAGAGTTGTAGGGAAGAATAATGTGCGATTCGGTGCACGCTGGCCCTCACAGGCTACTTTCATGCCGTCGATTTATGAAGTGTCTTTAATGTTGTTCGATCCGCTGTTTTCACGGAAGTCCTACAGAACTGCTTTACTTTTGCCTAAAGGCGACTAACTAGGGATTGATAAGAGTACCAGTACAAGACACTAGTTTTTGGTGCGGTGAGCATTTCTTAGCCAACATAATTGACTCAGAGAAACCAGACCACGGTTATAAACGATATTGCTCACAGTAGGTTAAACGTGGTCGATTTTGTGTTTTGTTTTTCATAAATGGAAGGATGGATTGTTTCGTGCAGAAATAATGTACCTTTGCGCTGTTGTTTAACTACAGTGCTAATGGTATTATTATTTATAATTGTTCCTAATGCCAGCGGCTTGTCGAGTGATTGAGACCGATTGACTCTCATTCAACAGACACGGGTTCGAATACTCTGTAAGGCGATGGATTATTATTCCTTTTCGTCTGGAGCAAAAACGGAATACTAACACGGAGAGTCTGTAGGGACTGCACTGGAAGTGTGACTGTAAATCCGCAGATTCAGGGCACCATCTCACTCCCACCCCATCTTCCGTCCTGCACAGCCGTTTAAAAAGTCTTCTTTTTCTTAGCGTTCACCGAATGTAAACAATGGCGGAAAGTTCTGGTTGTTCGTTCACTTGTGGACTTTGGCCCTGTTGCAGGATTTGAGTGTTCTGTGTGTGTGTCCCGTTTTACAGATCTGGCTTATTTGTTTACAGACTGTTGGTTCCTTGCCTCTCAGGCAGATGCACTTCTGACTTCGAATGAAACCTCCTTATTAGTCGGCTGTTATGACATGCATGTTAGAGAGATTGCGGGTCTATTCTTGTTTCTTCCATAATAGAGCTCTAGGACCCACACTAGGAAAATAAGTTAATACGTAAGCTAAGTCAACTCCAACAAAAGCTTTAAAACACGACAATCTTTCATGTAATTTAGTACATCTAGGTGTTTACATGTCAGTAAAATTTTCCTCGCAGCAGAACATTTAAAACACGACAGTCTTTCTTCTAATTTAGCTCAGAATTAGGTTTATACGTAAGCCCAATATTTCTCTCAACTCACATGCTTATCATCAAGTTCTTTGCCGACTGGCGTGGGCGATCCTGCCTCTCCATAATCCATGATCCTCAAAAGTATTTATCAGTTTGTGTGTTGACACCACTTCAAACATGCCATGACAAAAAAATGTCAAAAATCCTCTCACTTTGTCTTCCTGTATTTCTTTTTTTCTTTCTTCTACAGATCTTTCCAGTGGTCATAACATGTTCCAGTTTCCTTCTCATAACATGACAAACAAGTTATGGCTTCCTCTTTCAGATGTTTTTTGTTGTCTTCGAGCCTTCGCCTCTTTCAAAACATCCCTTGGCTGCTCTTTTTTGGCTGTCCAAGGAATTTTAAGGATTCTTCATATATGTTTCAGATGGATGGAGGGGAAAGTGTCAGATCGGGGAGAAGTGAGAGGTCAGAGCGGTCATTGAGAAGCCATGGAAGCAACCATCATGGCAATGGAGGGCATCATCGTCAGCACGGGAGACCTCAGGTGAGACTGCTTCTTGTTGCTGCTGTCACCACTGTCTCCTCTTATACAACACAAAATACAATGTTTGCAGAATTGTTTCACAACCCTTGATGCACCAGGGTGGAATTCTTCTGTGTGTGTTCTTTGTGGGCAGTTGTCTGAGGGTCACACTGTGGAAGCGATCAGAGCCTCACCTTGTAATGCCTCTCCCCCCCCCCTTTTCCAAAAATAAATAGTAATAGATACATTGCAGCCAACCTATATTGTAGAACTGGCACACATTTTGTATCTATGCAGAATCCCTCGTATTTGTTTCTGATCACTGTTTGCATCCCTAAAGTTGGCATTTTTTAATATATGATTGTAATGTAAATTTGTAACACAGTTGTATCTTTCACATCTTCCCAGGAATAGATGTGCCTAATTCGGAACATAGTGTGTTGTGGATACAGTTTGTAGCTCTCTTGAATCATACTCAACAAGGCCAGTGATGTAACAAACTATTACAAATGAGTTTGTTTATTAACAGTATTGTCAAGTCAAGCAGTACGAATAATTTCACCAACCAATAGTATAAGAACACTTCATTATCTTATTGTTGGCTATTCATATATCTGACGATAAGTTCTTTAATCACTCTTCTAGCAAAGCAAAACCTTAGATTTTAATATCTATTTCTTCTAACGAAGCACAGCTCTAGTTTTCTATGTCTTCTCGCCAAGTTCTTGTCAGCTGCTCCCCTCAAGCATCTAGGCACTGACTGTCCTGCCTCTCCCTTGCTCCTCTGCTCTTAACCCCCGCTTCCTCTCTTTCCCCTTGGTGGGATCTCAATCACCCCCTGTCATCCGTCATCCTGCTCTATGTTTTCATTTTTAGGTGGTCATGTGTATTCCGTGCTGCTCTCCAGCACTTGTCGACCTCATTCTCTCTCGTGCATCTTTGTTGGTCTCTCCTGTACATCTGCATCAGTCTATGTCAGATGTCGCGGTTTTATTTGGAGAACCGTATGCTATTCAACCCTGGTCACAGTGCACCTGTTCCTACGTACTTCGCCAAAGGTTACTGATTTATCTGTGTGGCCTTGTCTGACCAACGTTCTAATCACCGTTTTCTATCATGCCACCCAGAGATGCTGGTCTGAATATATGCATTCTTCATTTAACCCCTTCCTAAACCTTATTTCATCACAAATTGATGATAAATTTGTAGGAAAGAAAAGTTTAATGAAAACATTAAAAGATAACTAGAAATTCGTATTAACAGTAAATAGGAAAAAACCATTCGCAAAATGTGAAGATTTTATCTGAATAAACATGGTCAGAAGTCTAATTTTAATCCTTGGGCCTGAAAGAAAATTTCTCTATGTGGGTTCCAGTGCCCCATTGGGGGAAGGAGGATGACTTCACTGCCCCCTAACAAATATACCATGTCTTAAAAGACGACTAATTAGACTAAGTTCGATGTGTTGAGCTGAATTACACAGATATCACAGCCTATCAGAAAACCACAACACAACGTGCCAGCTACCCCTTTGAGAGTGTATGCGAAAGCATTTAACAAAAATAAATAAGAATGAACAGGCCAACCAACTTTATTTTCAAAGGTTAAGAATTAGTCAGCAGGCCAGCCTAGCATACTTTTGTCATGCTATTGCATGAGGCTCACCCTATGCCCTCCAAATTTTTTTTAACTTTTTTCTCTAGCACCCTTCTTCATGTGTATTTTTTTTTTTTTTTTTGGGATGTGGGTCTGCCCTTATGTCTCTATTCCTGTTGGTTCCAGTGCAAAGACATTCTAATTATAGTGTTCTCCCGTTTTCTCAACGTGTATCCTACCTGATGCCAGATCTTTTCTTCGACTTTTGGTCACTGAAGTTATTTAACTCTCTATTAGATCTTACCATTTAATATTTTCTTTTCCTCACAGGCACCAGTTAAAAGATTTGTGTAGCTTATTAGTAATTGTTTTTGTTGTTCTCCATGTTTCTGCTCCATATGGCAGTACTGATTTAACGTTCAAATTAAAAATTGTAAGTTTAGAATCAGTTTTAATTTCTTGAGAAATCCAAAAATTTTCAAGTGCTGTAAAAGCTCCTCTTACATCTTTTGTCAGGTAATTTAAATATCTGCAACAAGACAATATAAATGACACATGCTGGAATGTTCTTGAACTATCCATGCATTATTATTAAGTAATAGTTTTAGCAGTAGTTTTTCGCTGCAGCCCACGGCTGGTGTTCGAAACCGGGCGGTTCCCGGGGTTCACCCAGGTTGAAGGTAATGGGTACCAGAGTTAACACTCTGAGGTAAATGGAGGAATGTCGTTGTAGCTACAGAGTTGCATGCGGAAGGTGACACAGGTGGACAGTTTCTTATCAGTTGTCTGTACTAGTGGCAGAGCACTTATGGTTTAATGGTGCAAAGAAGCTGGTTCACATCTCCCAACTTTACCTTTACCTTTTAGTTTTTGCATTTATTCATTCTGTGGGATGCTTCCAGTAGTGCAGGTGTCCCAGGGTGAATTGTATCTGTGTAACCACAGAGCGCCCTTTTCACAAAATGTTTCTTCTTCTTCATTTATCTGAGGTTATAAGTGTGTTGTGCCTGTTTGTAGCATGGCTGCATTATTTGCTCTTTTCAGCTGACAAATCTGACTTCTTCAAGCATTTGTTGCCCAGGTTAGCCTTCCCAGTCAGTTTCATGGTTCATTAATTACAAAAAATATTTAGTTTTTTAATTTGCTGTAATTAACATTAATTTATGCGCCGATCTAAAACAAATATATTGATAATAGTGATGATAATAAAAACTGTCTTATGCACCACTTGGTGGTATATTAATGAATAACAAGCTGTATGTTATCAAGACTCATTGGGAGCCAGTGAACAGTGCAGAGATACAAATAGATTATCACCCTCCGAAGAGGATGGTGCAGTGGGGATCTGGCTAACCCTCAAAACTCGGGAAAGGCGGGGAGGTGGCAAATTAACAGACTTCTGCGGGGACCATCATAATTTGAACTCCTCGCTGGCCCCTGAAGTTGAACATGGAGCACTTAAAAGAATGTCCCAAGTGCTGTGGTGTCCGTTTTTCACTCTACTCAGTAATAATAGTCATATTTCAAGAGAAAATTGACTTTGCACTGGATTTTATCCCAGAAAGCAGAGTCTCTCAGAACGACCAGCCACTGCAGAGAGTATCTAACAAAGCATAAGTATATATGGTCTTAGCAGTCATCCCTCAGAGATCACTGTAAATATGGCACTAATGAACGGCACCACAGTCTGTTAAATTAACCCTTGATCTTTAGAGTGCGTGACACAAATTACAGACTTTATAGTCACACAAAACCTCCTTTTTTGGCTGTACAATAATAAAAATAATATCAGATAATAATTTCCAATGCCAATATGTTAACAACTATGACACCACATTGTGTAGCGTATTATATTTACCTTTAACAATATGTGTCATAAAAATGCAGTGAGTAAAGTGCTCTGGTACTTTCTTTATAAACACTACACTGGTGCATATTTTTATCTTCGTGTTTGTTGAGTGAATTCTGCTATATACTTGTATAGCTTTTTATTGTTCTGATTGCATGATATGTTCTTTAACTCTTTCAGTCCCAACCAATTGTTTCTGTAGTACTGACTATCCTAGACAGTGTATACTTAACAGAAACAATCTTTGCCCTAACAAGCTAAATTGATAAACTATGATATTTAACCCTTTCACCACAGAGAAGCTGAAAAACTGACTCTTCTGGTGGGGTCATGGACACCTTAAATGTCACTTTTGCAACTTGCCTATCATGTCCTGTTTATGGGGTGTATAATTAATGCTTTTGGCTGAGTTCATGCCTTTGCGAAAGTTCAAGAGGTCAGGAAATTAATACATTTCCTGACAAAAGCATTTAGAGGGGTTTTCTTTTTGTGCTAAATGGCTTTTTTTAAAAAAGCCAAGATGATGTCAGATTTTCTCCTAAGCCTCAATGATAAAGGTCACAGGCTCATGGCATAAGCCACCCAATATATATGTTTTTTTTAGGCCCGGAAATATTTTAATACCCCCCCCCCCCCCCCTTTTCCTTTCCGCCTTAGGTGTTTATGGATTACTCATTTGATATATCTTTATATATTTAAAAAAAAATAATTTTAAAATGTTGATAAACATTTAAAATACATTTATTAGTGACCTGTGTAAAAATTATCTTTTTTTCTCCAGCTTTTCTCCCCTCTCCAATCCTAATGGGGTCGTGACCTATTTTTGTGTAGTCTCTTGGTGAAATCAATAAAGTAACATAATGTGTTGAATGGGTCAGTGTTACTGAGGGGTAATGCAGGAGGGGGAATTTCAGAATGTTTACAATGCATGATTAATGAAAGAATGTATGATAAGTTGCTTGGTACTGAAAGAGTTAATGTTTTTGTGTGTGATTGCTTGCTATATTATTGTCAGTTAAAAATGTTTAATGATAACATTATTTATGATGACGGCAGGCTTTCACTGTTTATTCTTTTAAAAAAAAATTGGACATTTAACTTGTTTATCAGCGTGTTCTATTTTTGCATGATAAACAGGTTGCTTAGTATTACAGAGACTGAGACATATAGGAAAAAACAAGTTGCAATGAAGTTGGTCTTCTTGACTTAAAAAAAAATCTTGTTGTCTCTGCTTTAATACATCTATGCATGTTTGTTTTATAAATGTTGTCCTTGGTCTGTGCCTTTCTCGTTTCCCCTATTCAGTGTTTATTGTGCTTTTCATTACCTTCATTTACATTTGTTATTACTAGTATTATTCTCTGCTAGATGTATTGTGTAATTTTGATTACTGCTGTTGTTTCTCGCTAGATTCCCTCACGGGCTGGGAGTCACAGAGGGATGTCCAGAGGTCACAACCATGACATGGAAAGAATGGACCGATCTGTGACCATTAAAACCCCGGGGCAAGAGGTAGATGTGGAGAGAAGGGGTGGGGAAGAGAGGATTGAAGTGCAGGTAGGGGACGATACGCTTGAAAGTTTTAAAACACCTGCCAACAAAAAGGGACCAACATTCTGTAAATGGTGATAGTTTTAAAACATCTGAAAAACAAAGGGACCGACATTCTATACATGGTGATAGTTTTAAAACATCTGCCAACAAAAAGGGACCGACATTCTATACATGGTGATAGTTTTAAAACACCTGCCAAACAAAGGGACCGACATTCTATACATGGTGATAGTTTTAAAATATCTGCCAACAAAAAGGGACCGACATTCTATAAATGGTGATACAGACACTTTATGACATTCTATATTTAGTGATAGTTTTAGAATAACAGGAAAGTGGGGGGGGGGGGGGGGGGGGGGAGGGGAGTTCTATACATGGTAATAGTCAGACAATCTATATTTGTTGATAGTTTTAGAATAACGGGGGAGGGGGGGGGGGGGGGGGGTCAAACAAAAAAACATTCTATATTTGGTGATAATTTAAGAATACCAGCTAATACCAGAATTTGATTGAAATTTATTTTTAAATTGTAATGACACGCCACAAAACACATTTAGCGCAGGGACATAGAGAGTGACATGGTAATAATGGGGGAGGCCATGGTGAGCTGCTGCTTCTGATAGCCAATAATATTAAGATCATCTGCTGCTGCTGCTTTTAATGTCCACCAACTGTAAACCCCTTCAGAAAGATCTGGTTGTTCATCCACATGTGCACTTATTTCAGGATTTGAATTGTGCTTGCACATCCGTTTTACAGGTTTGGCTTATTTGTGTGCAAACTGTTGGTTCCTGGCCTCTCTGGCAGGGGTAAGACTCTTTGGCATGAGTTGGCTGAGGGTCTGTTCTGTGCTTCTTTGAGGAAATAATTAGCAGATAACAAAGACAGTTTCAAAATGCTTTGCTGTACAAGACGTTGCAGAACCAACCCCAGCATTTTTGTTGCTGTTATTTGGGATTCTACTAGGCAGTTTTTCATTCAGAAGTTTGCCATTGTTTTCTGAGTAGTCAGCTCTTGATACCATTGTCGAAAACAACACAGAGGTCTGCTGCCTGCTTACCAGCAGCTGGGATCGAACCTGGTATCTTGGAATTAAAAACTTTGTTTTACCTACGCCACAGACGAGCTAGATAAGGGATATGAAAAGAGAAGAATGTCAAAGATAATATGTCGTAGTGGTATTAGATTTTCACATTAATAATACCCTGTTCAACTCTCAGTTACAATTAGGATATATATTTATTGTTCAAAGATGTTGAAAAAAAAAAGGGAGGGGGGGAAAAGGGGAGAACCATCTTTGAGTTGATACTTCCCAGTGTTGGTTCTGGGGCGTCATTGTGGAGAAAACAAGAATAGACCCAACGCGACCCCAACAAGCATGTCGTTAGAGTTGACTAATTGGGGGCTTTCTTCCAAGTCGGATGCATCTGCCTGAGAGGCAAGGAACCCACAGCCTGCATACAAATAAGTCAGATCTGTAAAAGGGATGTGCAGGCAAAACTCAGGTTCTGGGAAAAGCCCGAAGTCCAGAGGTGGCTGAACAACCAGAACTTTCCGACGGAGTTTACAGCCGGTGAATGCAAAGAAGAAGAGTTGAGACTGAAACCTGTATGAACACAAACTTTGGAAAGCTCCTTGGAAAAAAAAAGGCACCCCTAAATACGATCAGTTGTTTTGCTGGGTGTTTATTAATGAACAACAAATACTTAGCTAGAAAATGCAAGTATCCAAATGAGTCATTTACTTACACAAGGTAATGAACATACATAATGAACATACATTAAGCAAAGATTTAAATAACTGGTAACTGTGAAGGAGACGAAAAAAAGTTAGCTGTATACCCTTTACAGGATATTGTAAACCAATCCTTGCATTTCTTGGCTATTTATTGGTAATTTCAGCAAGCATTCTTTGTGTTTTTTAATTTGCCATTGCTTCCATGCCATGTTCAACATTCGCATCATTGTCAAAATCAGTGCAAAGAATTTCATAATATTAGTGCTGTGACTCACCTTTTAAAAACTAGATATTGAGGCCATTATATTTCCACAGGGTGCCCCATAAGTGTCCATAGATAGGAAAAATACACATATCACTAACGCCAATTACAAACATATCTCCAGCTTTGCTTATACATGTTCTTCAGCAGTGGAGGGCACATATGGAAATGTGTTTTTAACAAAATTTCTGTCATGGAGAGCATGTTATATTTATAAATTAATTGTTTTTATAAAAAAAAACACACACACACACACACACACACACACACACACACACACACACACACACACACACACACACACACACACCACACGCGCGCACACACGCACACACACACACACACACACACACACACACACACACACACACACACACACACACACACACACACGCACACGCACACGCACACGCACACGCACACACACACGCACACACACACACACACACACACACACACACACACACACACACACACACACACACACACACACACACACACACACACACACACACACACACACACACAACCACCCCCTCCCCCCCCCCACCCCCAGTGTGTGGAAACTTTGGGGGCATCCTGTATAATGTAAGTATTGTCTTGACCGATGAATTGAAATTGTATCTGTTCATGTGGTGTCTTTCAGGTGATCCCACAAGATGACAACTGGGGTGATAATACCACAGCCATCACGGGCAACACCAGCGAGACTGGATTCTCCATGGAAGATCTGGCCAAATTTGCTGTGAAGGACAGCAGTGGACATGTAAGATATCTTCTCCCCCCCCCCCCCCCCCCCACCAACCTTCTCTTCTTGACTTTCATTTCTCACTAGAGCATCATCTTTATGTAGCAGGTCCTTTGCAGAATGTCCCTCTCATCACGGCCTGCCTGAAAGAAACTCAGTTTCACGCTAGATCTCCAGCCTTGTGCACTTTGCTACCCAAGATGAAACATATTGATATATCCTGTGCCCATCTTTGTGCTGGCCAGTCTCTGCCTCTCAGACCTAGCACCGTGCCTTCTGCTACTATTCTTGGCAATCCACTTTGGTGCTTCAAACGGCCACAAATATTTGACAGTGAAGCACAGGCCCTCAAATAATTCATGTGTTAGTTAGTTAGTTATTCCTCTTGTGCCAAAGATGGCGCATAGGGCAGAGGTCATAGCTTTCCACGTCTGTCGGTTCGTTGCCACTTGATGTAGGTCTTGAGTGCGACTGAGACCTGTGGTCGAGCTCTCCCTTGTGATGGTTCTACGGAGAGTTTCTTTTGGTCTTCCCTGTTTTCTTTTACCCTCTGGTGACCATATGAAGGCTTGGTGGGGAAGTCTCTGTATGTCCATTCTGAGTACGTGACCGATAATTCATGTGTAGCCCCTATGTAAACTAATTCATTATTGGTAAATTTGTCCATTGTCAGTTTTCTATGTGGCGGTGTAGCCTGTTGTTTACAACATGCATAGTTAAGTGTTGCTACTGGTCTTTGCTTCCCAAACTTCTGTCCAAAATGGCCATTAGCCGGCTAACCACCAAGGCTTTGAAAATTTATTTATGTTTATTATTAGCTTTCCCTGGGAGTCGCCGTGGCATAGCGGCTAGACGCTCGCCGCGGATCGGGAGGTCGTGGGTTTGCTTCCTGGCATAGCCAGACTTTTTCAAAAATGGCTTGGGCTTCCAGGTCGACCCAGCCTTGAGTGGGTACCGGGTGCAGTCCCGGGAAGTAAAGGTGGCCAGCGTGATGCTGACCACATCACCCATTTTGTGCTGATTGGTCTACAAAATATAGGTCTAGCCCTGTATGCCCTATACACCTAAAAGCGTGGAAAAGGGTCCTTTACTTACTTTATCTATTAGCTTTCCCTAAGTACTCTGTAAACACAGTGATATTCTGTTAGTAGCGATTATTTTGTCATAGTAGTGATTGTTTTATCATAGTAGTGATTATTTTGTCATAGTAGCGATTATTTTGTCATATAAGCAATTATTTTGCCATGAAACTGTAGTGGACATGAAGTCCCCTGCAGTAAAAGTCTGACGTGCATAAGAAGCAAAGTACTCATTTTGTATAGGTAAGTGAAATCTCCTGTCTGCAGGCCCGCCTCCTGCTGGCTTTTAAAGGCATAGCCCATATGATGAATGAGAGGCTCAGTACATAGAAGTGAAATTAAACAGTCCTAAGCAGCACCTGACAATTCCTTGGGTGAGCCTTGTACCAGAACCCCTTGTACCAGAGGTATGTCTTTACAGAAGCCTTGTCAGATGGCAGGGAATGCTCATGTTCTGTCCTGCCTTCTCTTGTGGACTGACCAGCATGGTGTGACTGCTTTGGGCTGGCCTGGTGGTTGACACTACCTGTAAACTATGAAAAAAGATGACCTCTCATCAGTGAGGCTGCAGTGTCTCATGAAACTAATTGGGAAGGTAACATGGGCAACAAATGCCTGCAAAAGTCAGGTGTGTCCACCAAACGGTGCAAATATTGCATTCATGTTGTAAACGGGCACACCGGATTTACATTTTCAGATAAGCACAGATGAAGAAGATTTTTATTATGTGTGTTCCTCTTTAGTGTCCAGTTCTGCTTCATGTTATGATGTATGTTCATCTTTTACGCAGAAATGTTTACATTTTTTCGGGGTTTGTTTTTGCAAATGATTTTAGTATTTATTGTCTACTTTAGTAAAATATTCTAACTGCAGTAGAAATATTCTGTTCTCCTCTCTCTAGGCCGAAGTGAACTGTGCCAGGTATGTGGGTACCACCTTGACTGTTATTCTCAGCATGGTAGCCTTCTTGTCTCCCATTGCCATGCTGGTTCTTCCAAAACTGGATATTATCCAGTGGCGTGCGGATGTGGACAGACCGGGGGAGTGCCAGCCAGAATGCGAAGGACTCCTGATCAGTTTTGCCTTTAAGTTATTGGTACTTTTGATTGGTGCTCTGGCACTATTTTTCAGAAAGGTACACATTTTACCCTGTTGTTAGTTAGTATTTGTACCAATAATATCCGGATCAATCCTTCTCGACTGTGAGGTTCTCTATGGCAAAGCAGTTTTAATTCTCATTTCTAGTACACCCACAGCCAGGAAGTTTTGCAAAAATATTTTTTCATTTTTCCAATAGTGATCTAAAAAATTATAGAAGAAGGCAAGGTACCAGGAAGGAGGTGCAGGGGACGATCAAGACGAAGATGGGCACAGAATATAAGTGACTCCTTGAGTGAAAATACATGAGGGGGGAGAGCTGGCGAGAGACTGAGTGTCTTTCAGGCAGACTGTGATGAGAGCAACGTTCTGCAAAGGACCTGCTACTTGATGATGATGAATAATAATCTTGTGGAATAAGTAATGATTGATAGGGTGACTTAGTATCTTTCACAAATGCTGCAACAATATTGAAGTTTCTGAAAGAAATCTAACATTACTTCTATTAGTTCATTTAGTACCAGGCAAGTCAGCAAGCATTTATACTTCCTCCTTACACGATTAAGATTTGCAGTGGCTTAGTATCTAGATGCCCAACCTGCAGGCCCAAAGATCTTGGGTTTGAGTACACATCGAGGTGGTCCCCGTGTGGGTTCCGTGGCCTTGTTAAAGGGAAAACAAGACTATACCCACTGCCTACCCAAAAGCAAGTCTGTGCATCTGCCTGAGAGGCAAGTCTGCATACAAATTAGTCAGATCTGTCAAACGGATGCCCATGGAAAACTCAGGTTCTGGAACAGGACTGCAGTCCAGAAGTGGACGAACAACCAGAACTTTCTGCCAAAGTTTACAGCTGGTGAATCTAAAGAAGAACAACGCGTAGAGGTGGATTTAAAAAAAAATCTGACTTGTGCTCTCAGGTCACCCCAGTTTTAAATGAGTGTGAGGTTATGTCCTTAGGAGTAAACGAGGCTGGAATTAGGTTGATCACATCACCCACCTAATCTAGCCTCATAAATCTTGGCTTACCACTGGTTAAAAAAAAGTCTTTTACTCATTGACACCATAAGCTTTTCTCAACTCCCTCATGTTTTATCTGGTTTATACATTAGCTCCACTCAAATCCACTTAAAATAGTAAATGAGTTAGAAGACAGACTTCAAAAAATGGAATTAAGAAGAAAAAACACACATCCATTCATTGTCATTACCTGAGATCAGAACACTTATCAAGGGAAAATACAAGAAATTGTGAAGAAAACAAACAGTAAACATCCAAAAGACCACATCAGCAGACTCAACAGAAAGCAACATACAACAGTTTTTCGTCTACAAACGGGACACTGCAGGCTCAACTGCCATATGCATAAAATAAAGACCGTACAGTCCCTACAGTGTGCCTGTTAAACAGGACCACAAACACCTGATCACATTCTGCAGATCTGCCCACTCTACCTACAACTTCGAAAAGAGACCTGGCCTCAAGAACAAAGTGTGCAGAGCAAGCTATGGGTAACCATGAAGGACTTGCTACTGACATACGAGTTCACAGAGGCAACCCACCTGATGGTCTGATCTGAGCATATGAAACCGAACGCAAAGAAGAAGAAGAAATCCATTTGTAAAAGTTTCTTATTCTACTTCAGTAGTATTATTGATAAACTCCTTTAGACACAAACATTGGTGGTTAAAAATAGGATTTCTGTTGGATACAGTGGACCAGTTTTTACGATGGTGCCAGGATGCATTGTGATTTTCTTGGAAGTAGCATGATTTTCGTTGTGCTATTGAAGTGGGATGGTGACCGACTGGAGATCGCTGCCTCGACCAGCATGACGCGTTGTCAATGTTTTGATTGCGATGGAATGGGAACACAGATCTTCTCAGCAAGGGGCTGCAACTGCCTGGGAAGCAAACTTGAAAGCTATTTCCAGAAATGGAACGTATCAACCAGCGGAGTGGCTGCATGGGTGCCATCACTGTAGATAGCAGCTAGCTAAAACCACGATTGGTTCTCACATCTCAGACAGGCCTGCTGTAGAGACCTCAGGCTGACATTCCAGTTTACGGCCAACGGGTGGGTAAAGTACATTACTAGAGACTGTTAAAGAAGAAGGAAATAACGAATCAAAGTAAAACTGTTATCAGTTCCTCGTGGGAACAGTCAGTAGAGGTCAATTGGAGAGGCTGCTGCATCTGAGGACTGAGCATGCATGGGAGTCACTAATATACAGTGACATTGATTGCTATAACATAACATAAAAACTGTCTGGTACTGATAGATGTAAATTGACATAAATCAAGTGAAATATTTTTGGGAGGGAATTATTACTGTTTGTAATAATACTGATTTTGTTGTTGTTGTTAAAGTTGCTTTTGAACACAGTCCCCTTCTCTTCCACAGCCAAGAGCAACCATGCCGAGAGTATTTGTATTTCGAGCGGTTGTTCTCTTTCTAGTTTTTGTCTTGACGTTTGCTTTTTGGCTGTTTTATGGAGTCCGCATTGTCAAGGAAAAACAAGGAACATATGAGGTGAGGCTGCTTCTGCAGTGTGAATAATTTGTCTTTTCTTCTCCTTTATTTTCTGTCAAGAGGGCGGCTGGCACATTATGTTGTAGTTTACAGGTAGACTGCAGTATCTGTGCCTTTCGACCCGACACAGCCAGCTTCAACAAGTCCTTATTTAGTCGGCTTTTATGATGTGCCTGTTAAGCAGCAGTTTGTTTATGATTTAAAAGAAAGGGGTCCAGGAACCCACACAGGGAGGTGCAGTTAGGTAATGTCATGGATCCAGGAACCCACACGGAGAGGTGCAGTTAGGTAATGTCATGGATCCAGGAACCCACACGGAGAGGTGCAGTTAGGTAATGTCATGGATCCAGGAACCCACACGGAGAGGTGCAGTTAGGTAATGTCATGGATCCAGGAACCCACACAGGGAGGTGCAGTTAGGTAATGTCATGGATCCAGGAACCCACACGGAGAGGTGCAGTTAGGTAATGTCATGGATCCAGGAACCCACACAGGGAGGTGCAGTTAGGTAATGTCATGGATCCAGGAACCCACACGGAGAGGTGCAGTTAGGTAATGTCATGGATCCAGGAACCCACACGGAGAGGTGCAGTTAGGTAATGTCATGGATCCAGGAACCCACACGGAGAGGTGCAGTTAGGTAATGTCATGGATCCAGGAACCCACACAGGAAGGTGCTGTTAGGTAATGTCATGAAGTGCAGATTATAATTATTCAGCCATGTTGAAAGGCAAAATACCTGTATACCATCAAACAACATGTTTGATAGCATTGCTCCATCAAGCCTGGGGTTGCCTGCCAGGCAAGGAACCAACAATTTGCATTCAGATAAAGATCTGTACAATGGATGTGCACAAAACACTCAGGTTTCTGGAGCAAGACTAAAGTCCTGAGGTGGAACGAAAAACTAGAACTTTTTCTGAATTTACAATCGGAGAATGTGAAGAAGAAGATTAATCTCAACAATGATTGTTTTGTTAGTTTGCTTTCCCTCTTGTTTGGCTGTCTCCAGCTTCCCATGTGAGTTCCAGGACTCCATTGTGCATACGAATAAGCCAGATGCATAAAACAGCTGTGCATACGCCACTCAGGTTCTGAAACACGACTGAATTCCAGATGTGGATGAAAAACTGGAACTTTTCACTGGAGTTTACAGACCCTGAACACAAAGAAGAAGATTATCAGAAAAAAATATATATATATATATATATATATATATATATATAATATATATATATATATATATATATATATATATATATCTATATTATAATATATATACTATATATATATTTTTTTTTTTTTTTAAATATAAAAGAGACTATAAATCTCACTTGCATCTTGTTTCGGAAACTGTGGTACGTAGGCCATATCAAATGCGACGGGGGATTAGAAAGAACAGTAGCAGAGGGCATGGTGATAGGTAAGAGGGTTAGGGGCTGACCAGCACAAAGATGGGCACAAGACCTTGGACAGGAAAGTGCTCAAAACAGGAGAGCCGATAAGAGACTGATAGGAGTGACAGGAATGCCGTTCTCTAAGGATATCTGAGTTATAAACCAGTTGGGATATTTTTTATATAAATACTACTAACATGAAAAAAAAAGAAACAATTATTGAAGAAAGGTTAAGAGCTAGGTATCTGAGAAAAAAAGTAAAGTAAAGATCCCTTTTCATGCCTTTAGGCGCATCAGGCATATGGAAAGAGCACCCATATTTTTACAGACCAATCGGTACTAGGTGGATAATGTGGTCAGCATTATGCCAGCCATCTTTACTTCCTCAGGACATACAAGTACCCATTTTAGGCTGGGTCGACCTGTGACGCCCCATACCATGATAAAAATCCATGCAGCTAGCAGTGGGTTTTGATAGCAGTATTTTGGAATTACAAGTCGGACTCGCAACGCCTAAGCCACGGACACCGCCAGGTATCTGAGTAGAAGCACACCAAATACTTTTTGGCAACATTGGTCCTAAAGTCCCCACACTTTAATTGTGGATGACTTTTTTTTAAATAGGGGTGGGTCTTTGCTAGTCACTCTCGCCATCACCATGGGTTGTGTTTACCATGCTCCTCTCACACCATAGCACAGTATCACTATCATCTGGAGAGTTGCCAAGAAATGTTTTTTTTTTTTTACCCAGCAGAATATTTCTTCTTTCTTACTTACTTACTTACTTAGTCGCTCCTCTTCTACCTTGGGGTGTAGAGGTTTGCCAGAGAGATCACCAGACATCTCTATCAGCAGTTTTCTTTCTGGCTTTGTTCCATTCCAGTCCTCTGTCAGTTAGGGACTGTCGGATGTTGTCTTCCCAGCGCACCCTGGGTCGTCCCGGAGGTCTGGTTCCCTGGTTCTTAGCCTCCCATGCTTGCCATGGTGGCCGATTTTCTCCCATTCTGCATACATGTCCAAACCATCGTAACTGTGACTGATCTACTCGGGTTAGTAAGGGCTGGGTATCAAGATCTTGACGTATTGTCTGATTGCGGACTTTGTCCCTTCTTGTCACTAGGACCACCTTTCTCAGGTATCTCATTTCCGAGGCCTGCAGCTGGCTTCTGTGAGCTGTTGTCATTGATATTTCTTCTTTCTTGTGTCAATATTTGCTTCTGCCGCTAGACACCGCAGTTCATCAAGCGATTAGCAGCTGAATCAGGGCACGCTCGGTTCCTTGATTTGCCGTGATGTTATGCAGTCTCAAGGTGTCAGTGACTCCTTCAATCCATCTTCTTCTCGGTCTTCCCCTACCTCTTGATGTTTCGATTTTAAGATTGTATGCTTTAGCTGTTGGCATTGTTGGTTACAGCTAAGTGATTCCATTTCAGGGCATAGTCAAGTTCGCTTTATCTCTGGTGGACAGCCTGCTGTTTGTTCACTATATCGCCATCATTCTGCTAGAGGTTCGGCAACTGCAGCCTCAGTTTGCCATCAAAGTGGTACGTTCCCCTGACGGAGAATCACGGGTCTACAACATTGGTGTTCTCAGCATTCAGAGGGCGGCTGTGTATATACTGGAACATTATTATAGAGATTTTGAGGTAAGCCGCTTGGTGTTTATGTTGAGATGGCAGTTACCCCAGGTCAGCCCAGCCTGAAATGGGCGTCAGGAAATGTCATGGGACGTAAAGGCAGCAGCTGACATGATGTTGACAGCATCATCTATTAAATGTCCAGCACTGTATGCCCGATGCACTTATGGCACAAAAATGACCTTTGACACCCCCCCCCCCCCCCCCCCCCCCAATCACTTGGCTTTAAGTGCTGTTAAAAAATCTTGTTTGGAAATCTCTGCCTGTCATCTGGCAATGGAGCTTAAGTCCTTAACCAACTTACAGCGAGCCCTTTCTAGATTTGTTAAGGATTGGTTGGGTTTGGCAGCTAAAGTTTTCTACTGGTTGAGGTGATGAGCTTCAAGCCATGAATTTAGTCCTTTCCTTGGCCTATTACTCTTCTGTACAATCGCCACCTGGGAAATGTGAGCTACAGATTTACAACTCCTGCCTAGGGCATGAGAGTTGAAGATTTACAACTCCTGCCTAGGGCATAGGAGTTGAAGATTTACAACTCCTGCCTAGGGCATGAGAGTTGAAGATTTACAACTCCTACTTAGGATGATGGGCACAGGATATAAGTGACTCCTTGAGTTTGAAAGTTCATGAGGCGGGGGAACTGGCAAGAGACCGAGTTTCTTACAGGCAGACTGTGATGAGAGCAAAGGACCTGCTACATGATGATGACTTAGGATGTGCGAATTAAAAATTTATAATTCCTGCCTAGGACGTGTCACTTAAGATTTATTACTTCTACTAAGGACGTGGGAGTTAAAGATTTACAACTCCTGCCTAGAACATGAGAGCTAAAAATTTACAACTCCTGCCTAGGACATGAGAGCTGAAGATTTACAACTCCTGCCTAGGACATGAGAGCTAAAGATTTACAACTCCTGCCTAGGACATGAGAGCTAAAGATTTACAACTTCTGCCTAGGACATGAGAACTAAAGATTTACAACTCCTGCCTAGGACATGAGAGCTAAAGATTTACAACTCCTACCTAGGACATGAGAGCTAAAGATTTACAACTCCTACCTAGGACATGAGAGCTAAAGATTTACAACTCCTACCTTTCCGTGTGGGTTCCATGGTCCTATTGTTGGGAAAACAAGAATAGACCCACTGCCTCCCCAACAAGCAAATTGTAGGAGTTGATTAGTCTGGTAGTCTAAGTTTCAGCTTCATAGCAAACGGATCACCCCATCTTTGCTCCGCTCCTGTGCCAACAAAAAACACACAGAATGTTTATCACAGTATTAGAATTGTAGTTCATCATTGATGGTAGCAGAAGTCGCCAACAGATCAGCAGTTGCCCACACGATCAATTTTAATCACATACGGGCACCACAATACTGCACGACAGGCATCGCGCCATTTTCTGAATCTACAATTCACACCAATACGTTGGTCACAGTTGAAAAAACATTCCAAATGCAATCCGCAGCTCACAGGGTCACGCCATGCATTCAACTCAGAAGCTGGGCGACGAAACTATATCCAGTCTACAAATGGAGCAAAAATGCATCGGCCACCGTCCGGCAGAAGCAAAAAATTTGCCTCTGTTTCGAACAGTGCCGCTGCCTAACGTCCATTTTGACCGGAAGTTGATTAATTTGGAGCATCCTTTGAAGTCAGAGTGCATCTGCCTGAGAGGCAAGGAACCACGAGACTGCATTACAAATAAGCCATATCTGCTGGACGGATGTGCATGCAGTTCTGGACCAAGACTAAAGTCCAGAGGTGGACGAACAATCAAAACGTTTCGCTGGAGATTATAGCCGGGGAATGCAAAAAAGACAACGAAGACTACCTTACCTAGGACGTATGAGCTAAATATGTACAACTCCTACCTAGGACGTATGAGCTAAATATGTACAACTCCTACCTAGGAAGTATGAGCTAAATATGTACAACTCCTACTTAGGACGTATGAGCTAAATATGTACAACTCCTACCTAGGACGTATGAAGTAAATATGTACAACTCCTACCTAGGACGTATGAGGTAAATATGTACAACTCCTAACTAGGAATTATGAGCTAAATATGTACAACTCCTAACTAGGACGTATGAGCTAAATATGTACAACTCCTACATAGGACGTATGAGATAAATATGTACAACTCCTACCTAGGACGTATGAGGTAAATATGTACAACTCCTACCTAGGACGTATGAGCTAAAAATGTACAACTCCTACCTAGGACGTATGAGGTAAATATGTACAACTCCTACCTAGGACGTATGAGGTAAATATGTACAACTCCTACCTAGGACGTATGAGCTAAATATGTACAACTCCTACCTAGGACGTATGAGATAAATATGTACAACTCCTACCTAGGACGTATGAGATAAATATGTACAACTCCTACCTAGGACGTATGAGATAAATATGTACAACTCCTACCTAGGACGTATGTGATAAATATGTACAACTCCTACCTAGGACGTTTGAGATAAATATGTACAACTCCTACCTAGGACGTATGAGATAAATATGTACAACTCCTACCTAGGACGTATGAGATAAATATGTGCATCTTCTCCTTAGGACATGTGAACAGCCTCTATATGAAAATAATTTGACTAAATATGCTGTAGGGAAACATTCTCAAATACCCTTCAGTATATTCAGGATTGTCACCTTGTCTGCTAAAAATTTTTTTGTTTCAACAGATGTACAACCCTTATCTAGAAAACGTGACCAAAAAACACAGTAAACATTCGAGTACAGCCTTCAAAGTGTATGACATAGACGGGAATGCACCCAGCATACCTGGCAGTCAGGGGCAGAACAGAGCTGTGTTCCCTGGAACAGCCAGAAGGCGGGAAACCGGGCACAACGACAGGTTTTACGACGAGCAGGAGTATGAGAGGAGAGTGCGTAAACGCAGAGCTCGCCTTCTTGTTGTCACAGAGGAGGCATTTACACACATAAAGCGCATGCATGATGAGCAAGGTGGGTCAAGTTATTGGTCTTTCAGCTTTGTATATGTTTTTTTTTTTTAATTTACTTGAATCAGATGTTATTTTAGCCCTTAGAAGAGTATGGGAGTCGCCGTAGCGGAGCGGATCGAAAGGTTGTGGGTTCGCTCCCTGGCGGAGCCGGATTTGAAAATGAAACGACCTTGGCTCCCAGGGCGACCCAGCCTTAAGTGGGTACCAGGTGTAGTCTCGGGAACAAAGGCGGCCAGCGAGATGCTGACCACATCACCCATCTTGTGCCGATTGGTCTCTAAAAATATAGGTCTAGCCCTATATGCCCTGTACACCTAAAGGCTTGAAAAGGGGTCTTTTTTTTAAAACTTTACCTTAGAAGAGCCTTTTGTATTGTTGTACAGCCAGGTCTTTTGGTCTAATTTTTAATCAGTTGTGTTTTATTAAAGAGCAGCGACATGTGAACTAACCCCTAAAGCAGGCACTCTGCCTATGCCTTTTCTCATTTACTTGAATCGTTTTCTACATCTGCCTTTAAAATGGCAGTTGGCCCTTTGTATTGTTGTACACCTGGGTCTTTTGACCCAAGACATCTGATTTCATCAAATCCCTAATTAGTCGCCTTTTATTAAGGAGCAGCAACATGTGAACTAACCCCTAAAACAGGAGCTTTATTTATGAACTGTTTCATATCCTTGAATCTTCAACATTTGCACTTAAAAGGGCTGTTGATCCCTTTGCATTGTTGTGCAGCCAGGTCTTTTGGCTCAACGCATCTGATTTCAGCAAGTCCTTAATTAGTCTCCTTTTATTGAAGAGCAGTGGGTCTTGAATCTTTAGGAGAAGGGTCTTGAATCTTTAGAAGGGTCTTGAATCTTTAGGAGAAGGGTCTTGAATCTTTAAGAGAAGGGTCTTGAATCTTTAGGAGAAGGGTCTTGAATCTTTAGGAGAAGGGTCTTGAATCTTTAGGAGAAGGGTCTTGAATCTTTAGGAGAAAGGATTTGAATCTTTAGGATGTCAGGTCTTGAATCTTTAGGATGTCAGGTCTTGAATCTGTAGGAAAAGGGTCTTGAATCTTTAGGAGAAGGGTCTTGAATCTTTAGGAGAAGGGTCTTGAATCTTTTAAAATGTCAGGTCTTGAATCTTTAGGATGTCAGATCCTGAATCTGTAGGAGAAGGGTCTTGAATCTTTAGAAGTGTCTTCAATCTTTAGGACAAGGGTCTTGAATCTTTAGGGAAAGGAGTTGTTCACTGAAGTTAAAGCTCACTTTTTTCATTATGCATGTTTGCTTGTATATTTGGCTGTTAAGAGACTTTGTCTGGGTTGACTTCCTAACAGAAGCAGGATTCATTTTTCTTCTTTTTTTCTGGCCACTACATCTCTGGTGTTGGCACAGAGGAGGCATATCTTTAGACACATTAGATTTATTATTGAATTAATGTCTTTTTTATGTGTAGCTATCACATTGAATGTCAATGCATGTTGGACATACCTATGCATGCTCAGTCCTTAAGCCAAATGGCACCAGTTTTGAAATGCAAGCATGCAACTATGAACACTAAAAAGGACAATGTTCAACACAGTATTCTTACCAGCGCTGTGCTATCAATGTCAAACATGGACACTGTCTTCAGAAGACAGAAGGAAAAGAGTCAGGACAGAAATGAAATGTTTACATACTGTGCTAGTTGTGACAAGGAAAGATTGATTTTGGAACGATGATATCAGTGGGAGAGTCAGCACAGAAACACTACTGAACTTTATAGGTAGTCAACAAATAAAATGATTTAACCATGTAACAAGATTGGTATCAGAGAGGGCGCCACAGAGAGCAGTGTTTTACAGATACAGCGGTAACAGATCCAGAGGTTGACCACGCAGATCACGGACAGCATAAATATCAGAGACACTGAAAAGTACTTTATATGAAGCGCACAAAAGGGCCCGTTATAGGGATCTCTTCCTGCCCTGACCCGGCGAGGCATTCCAGGAGTAGAGAAAAGAAGAGGCCCAGTCCTCTGCTACAGCAGCCACTTCAAGGTGCCCCTTCTGTTTGTGCCGTCTTTAATATAGTTGTTAAATGTCATTGTATAAATCACATACGATATATTTTCCCCCAACAGGCCCTGCCATTCCTATGGACCCCCAAGAAGCTGCAGCAGCTGTTTTTCCATCCCTCGCCCGAGCTTTACAGAAGTACCTGCGGGTGACACGCCAGCAGCCACGGTACACAATGGACTCAGTCCTCAACCACCTGGCCTGTTGCATCTCACATGACATGAGCCCGCGAGCATTTATATCACAATACCTAACCCAGGGCGCCGTTATTTGTGGCAGCGAGCAAGAAGTCCGAAGCACAGAGAGATGGGTGCTGGTGTGTGAGCAGCTTCTCACGAGAGAACTGGACAATCACATGGTCTTCCAGCTGAAGAAGGGGCCAGTATCTTTACTTTGTACTGTCACCAGGATTCCTCACTTCAGTTTGACAGAGGAAATGCTGCACCCCAAGTCCAACAAATTTGTACTGCAGTTGAATTCGGAGACTTCTGTATGATATTAGTTAGGTCTTATAAATTTGGTTGAAAAAAATTATTGCCAACAACTTTAGCGAAATCTGAGATCTGATTCTTTGAAATGGCACCAGGAACTTGGAACATTATGTTTTTTCTTCTGCCAGTTACCCCCCAATCGAGCACAGTACCTCAGCTAATTTGCAACAAGCTTTCTCAGGGCTTGTTGTTAGGTGGTTGGCTTTTGCAGCTGAGTGTTTTTTTAACGAGATGGTATTGTAGGCGTGAAGTTCAACCCTTCCTGTTGATGCTTCTTGCATTATGCCTAATAGAATAATAGGATGCAGTGTTGCTGTTCTTTGTTTTCCCCCAAAGGCCTGATAACACACAGGCTGAGAAGGTTGGTGGTGATTGAAAAATAAAAGTCATTCTGTGAGTTAAGCTTAAGTAAGACAAACTGTTAACCTCCTCAAAGACAAAGTTAGCAGTGATTAGAAATTTTCACTCTGTGAGTCAAGCTTTTGTAAAACAAGACAATAACCTCCTCAGAGACAGAGTTAGCAGTCTTTAGACACTTCATAACGTGAGTCAAGATTTTGTAAAACAAGACAATAACCTCCTCAGAGACAGAGTTAGCAGTCTTTAGACACTTCATAACGTGAGTCAAGATTTTGTAAAACAAGACAATAACCACCTCAGAGACAGAGTTAGCAGTCTTTAGACACTTCATAACGTGAGTCAAGCTTTTGTAAAACAAGACAATAACCACCTCAGAGACAGAGTTAGCAGTCTTTAGACACTTCAAAATGTGAGTCAAGCTTTTGTAAAACAAGACAATAACCACCTCAGAGACAGAGTTAGCAGTCTTTAGACACTTCATAACGTGAGTCAAGCTTTTGTAAAACAAGACAATAACCACCTCAGAGACAGAGTTAGCAGTCTTTAGACACTTTATAACGTGAGTCAAGCTTTTGTAAAACAAGACAATAACCACCTCAGAGACAGAGTTAGCAGTCTTTAGACACTTCATAACGTGAGTCAAGCTTTTGTAAAACAAGACAATAACCACCTCAGAGACAGCAGTCTTTAGACATTTCATAACGTGAGTCAAGATTTTGTAAAACAAGACAATAACCACCTCAGAGACAGAGTTAGCAGTCTTTAGATCTGAAAATTCCTAGGAGTTTATGGTTTGTCAATTATTGTTGTTTTTTAAAAATTATACTGGTCACACTTTCTGGGTTATGTTGAGGATGGCTAGTATATAATGAGTATTTGGGTCATATTTGTTACCATATGCTTTAAAGTTGTAGATTTATGATTAAACTTGGTTATGCTTAGGACCATCAAACATTTTTCAGAATTCACTGTTCATTGTTTAGCTTTTGCTATTCTTTCATATAATGTGTCAAAGATATAGTCACATCTTACACACTGTATATGACTATGATCTTAAGCCGCTGATTATTTTTTAAGGTGCCTAAATTGGATGACAATTTTAGGTTGTTGTTTTTTTTGTTCCTCATTTTGATATAATGCAGATGCAGTAATCTCCAACCCTATCTTATCTGTGTTGCCTTTTTTTTTTTACTTGATCTTTTGTTAAAGCAATGTGTTTTTTTTTTTGTTTTTGTTATTTGTTAACCTTATTGCTTTTTTGTTTACAATATTTTGCTGTACCTAATTAGAAACATGACATTTGATGTTTTTAGTTGTATTTTTAAAAGAAAAATAGTTTAGAAAATAGTGAACTCAATTTTTTGCATATTTTATTTGTTTGTCTATACGGCGACTATCAATTGCTCTTCAAAGACTAAAACAACTGAATAAATTATGGAATTGTACAGATAGAATTACAAAGGTCAGATTTTTAAGAGCATGCATCTTTCCCATTGCAACATACGCCTGTGAGACCTGGACACTTACTAAACAAGCGGAACAGCGCATAAATGCATTTGAATATAAATGTTACAGACAGGTTCTAAGAATATCTTGGGTAAAGAAAAGAACAAATGCATCCATTCTTCAAGAGCTGAATATTGAAGAGGGTTGGCTAGTAAAGACAATAAAACAAAGAAAATTGAAATATTTTGGTCACTTGAAATGTCATGGAAGCCTAGAGAGAACAATAATGGAGGGGTATATGCCTGGGAAGAGAGGAAGAGGAAGGCCAAGGAGAAGATGGGTGCAGGATGTGGCGGATGATCTCCAGATGGGTGTGTCAGACGCAGGACATCTTGCTCAGGATAGGAAGGTTTTCCGGAGGGTTGTTATGGCAGCGAGGTTCCGCGAGGGACATGCTACTGAATGAGTGAAACAGCATATTCTCTGGTCTTGGATATTTTGAGGCATGGATATCCTTCTGTGTTTCAGCCATATTTCTAAACTCTTCTTGGCTGGAGTGCAGTTAATAGTATTATAGTGTTAATTGTTCATTTTGAAATTTAAAGATAATCTTCATCCCACATCGGACATGACCGTAAGTGCTCCATCTCCTCCTGAGTAAATGTTTTTTTAAGCTAACAACTTCCATTCTGTTCTGGTTGATATAAAAACGGGTAGCTTCCGCATGGTTTACCTGTATAGCGGCTCCGGTTGGTACACCCAGGGTGTACAGTCTATTCAGTGAACAATCATTTTTCATGAAACTGAAAAGCCTCACTGCACGTTTAGATAGTGTTATTTATGCGCCTTATTTCAGGTTGAACCTAACTGCTAACTATTCATTGTTAACATATCCACAAAGCAAGCTCCCTATGTACTTCGAGATTTGAGCTCATTCTTTATTCACACAGGACAGCAGGGTACACCAGGCTGTACCTATCACAGTTATCCCAACTGTTGTTGTTCGTCCATCACGAGAGATCAATACCACTTTTTTCATCTTAATTAGTAATGAATAATGATTACAAGTACGAAGGTAGCTGATTAGTCCAATTTGACCCTGGAAAGTTCTTTTGCAGTGCGGACAACAGATGGAAGCTGCAGTAGGTGTGCGATTTTCGATACAGTTCTTTCTAGTCTGCTTCCGTTTGAAAATTACTTGTGCAAGGACTTGGATTTAAGTGAGGAAGAGTTGCATAATTCGTTCCTGTTTTAGAATTATATATATTTCTTCACAAACAAAATACTGAGAATTTCACACTGCCAAATCAGTACCTGTCATAACATTATCCTTAAACTGTTTGGGTATTATGGAACTGATAGATTCATTAGTTGACCTCAAGAAAGTGCACATCTCTGGCTGGGTGGTCATGTTTTGTCATCTCACGCAATCACTGGAATCATGGATTAGCTCACTGCTCGTCCTGCCCTATCAGGGGGGGGCCAGGAGGATCAAAGTATTTACTACTGTGCCTTTCTCTTGCTCTTTTTCATTTAAACTTGCCAGTTGACATCATGTTCTTGAGTCTTTCTTCTGATGACATGTCTGATAAATATTGACTGTCTGCGTCTAATTTATGAGTTTACGGTTTTAATCTATCCTGGAGAGGACTCTATTTATTTTTCTATATTTCCATAATCTTCTTCTTCTTGGCGTTCACCAGCTGTACACTCTGGTGGAAAGTTCTGGTCGTTCGTCCACTTCTGAACTGCATCCCTGCTCCAGAACCTGAGTGTTGCGTGTGCATCAGTTTTACAGATCTGAGTCACTTGAATGCAGACTGTTGGTTCCTTGCCTCTCAGGCAGATGCATTCTGACTTCAAAGGAAGCTCCCCAATTAGTCGACTCTTACGACATGCTTTTGGGTAGGCAGAGGGTCTATTCTTGTTTTCTCCCAGGATGGGGCCCTGGAACCCACACGGGGAACATTCCATAATATTCTTTGCATTCTTCTAAAGAATTCAAAAAACCATTTCAGCTACTAGAGTACATGTTGGCTGCTTCAAACCGCATCTCAGGATATGAGGAATGAAAGTCATTGTAGGCTGGTACCGAAATAGTCTGTATCTGTAGCTTAGGCGCTACGTACCGAGATCCCGAGTTCGATCCCAGCTGCAGGTGCTTTGGCAGCCGATTGCTGTGTGCTGGTTTTGACATTGATACCGAGAGCTGACCATTGAAGAGCAGTGGCAAACTACTTAACATAAAATTGTCTAGTAAAATCACAAACACCCTTAAAAATGCTGGGGTTGGTTCTACAATCTCAAATAAAAAAGGAATGAAAGTCATTGTAGGCTGGTACCGAAATAGTCTGTATCTGTAGCTTAGGCGCTACGTACCGAGATCCCGAGTTCGATCCCAGCTGCAGGTGCTTTGGCAGCCGATTGCTGTGTGCTGGTTTTGACATTGATACCGAGAGCTGACCATTGAAGAGCAGTGGCAAACTACTTAACATAAAATTGTCTAGTAAAATCACAAACAGCCTTAAAAATGCTGGGGTTGGTTCTACAATCTCATATAAAGGACATGTGAGACACTTTTTTTCTTTTAAACCAAATGACTTAAATCTTTAATTAAGTACCTAGATCCTTATGCTAAAAGTTAATGAATACGGCATGTATGCAGGCATAGAGGTGGTTAATATAAATGCATGCTGTCCCCCTTTAGTGAACAGACCATTTTCTATCATCACAAGTGCTTTTATCACAGGCCAGTTTTTGTATTTCAGCACACTTGAATCAAGAACGTCAACACACTTTATATAGTTGGCAAATTTATTGAAAGATTTATTGTTTCGTTAATATGAAACATTTTAGTTGAATATTGGCCTCGTTTTTCAGGGCTTCTAGTCTTTCACCCCATACATTTTATTTGTTTACATATAATCTGCATTTTACAAATTTGCCATGCATCACTCAAGTACATATAAAGGAATATTTGCACTTCCATGCAGTAATTCAATTCATTTCCATTACATGACGTATGAAAACTTGTGACTGGGTTCAAGACTTGTGACTGGGTTCAAGACTTGTGACTGGGTTCACGTGTGAGAACAGTAGCAGAAGTTCAAAGTGGTTTGATGTAACTTTTGTAATATTGATTTTTATTATAACTTAAGTCAGCATTTCATGGAAGTTGTCCAAATTTTTGATGTACTGA